TGCTAATTTTATCTAAACGTAACAACTAAAATTTAACAAGAAAGTCGGAAACATGTGTGTTATAAATTGTAATTTTTCTGGTATATGCAACGAAAAAATGCATTCGTAGTTATAAAATTTTCAGGTGAGGAAAGAAGTACAAAGTCCGTTTACGTCTCAAGCTCTCCTTAGACTGTTTTGATCATTTCAATAAAGTTCTTTGTAACTTCAAAAACACTACATTTCATATACATATAACCCTAACCTAAATAGTACCGACAATATAAAATGCTAATTGGCCTAATTTGCGTTTGAATGTAATACAAAGTGCCAACTGTTTTAGTATTGACAATATAAAATGATAATTGTTCGAGTTTATGCAATGAAAAAATGCATTCATAGTTATAAGAACATCCATGTGAGGTTCAGGGTACAAAAACTACTTACATCTCAAGCTCTTCTTAAGCAGTTTAAACATTTTTTTTGACAAAATTCTTTATAGCTTTAAAAGCACAACAATCCATATACATTTAACCTCAACCTAAAGATAATTCTATCGTCTTCTTGTAATAAGAAGTATTAAACGATAAAAAAAATATAAATAAACTGTATTGACATTTAAATAAAGTTAATATGAAAACATATTATCCGTACCTTGCTAACAATGAAGTGCTAAACAAGATCCTTATGATATGGGCAGCATTTTAACATAACAGAAATAACTTAAAATATTTTCGGACAGTATTTTGACATGTAATTAATAATTCATAAGAAAATACTTGTAGCAATGAAATATTTCATCGTAGACGAAATAATTTAAAGAATTTAAAAATTTTCTAATTTTACAAGAACATGTGATTTTTATAAAAACACGGGGCGTAATCTAGCAACACGTCCCTATAATCCAAGCACTAGAAAGTTCGAGTAAAATATTGTTATTCGTATAAATTTTAAGTCTATATTGCTTTTATATAGTTAATTTTTAGTGAAATCTTGTCTTTCTATTTCTTAACACTGGGATCACTTCAATAGAGATGGCTGAGGGAATACGTTCAGCAAGCCACCGCCACCATACTAGAAGATCCACCTTGTAACGAATATTCCTACCTCCAAGTATTCCATCATTTGGTGAAGCACATTATGCAGCAAAAGCAAATTTAGACAATGTAAGCATGTAAATTATTTTTTTAGTTAATTTCACGTAAAATAATTATCAAAACTAATTTAATTTAATTTTTATAGGATAAAATTTAGGAAGCTGTCAGTCATGTCCTAGTGTTAAGAGAATCACAGATAGAGTGCCCACAATTCTTGTATGCAATCAAAATTATGGGGTTTGAATGCATCAGACATTTAAGCTACATCAAACTATACCATAATTTTATAACTGCGCTGGTCGAGAGGCGGTGTCCCATGAACAATACATTTAATTTGTCTGTCGGTAAGATAAATGTAATTTCTCATTTATATATAAGTTAAAAAAATTTGTTTTTTTTACTCATACATTGTACAAATCTATCATGTGAGATGACTATAACCCTACAAGACGTTCAAGTACTCATCGATATAAGGATTGCTGAAAATGTCGTAGTGAAACCTAATGTTGTTGGCCCGGGATTGCGCTGGCCAAGTTGGTCGTCATGCTGTGATGACCTTTGGGTGACCATTCTAGGGATGGCGTTGTATATCACCATCGTATACACAATAACATAACATTGAAATTCTATATAAGACAGTCTCCCACACAGGTTATGTTGCCACTGTGTTGGTTATACTGACAATTCTATAGGGATTCTTATATGGATTTACCACCATGTGGATTTCTGTATCATGTTAGAGCCTACATCTTATTCGTGATCGGATGTTTCCTAGCTCTAGATTCATCCAGATCACATGTATGCATAAAATATTTACCATTACTAGAAGATATGGATGAATGCAGACAATATTCTTTGAGCGGCGCAGTTCTAGCATTCCTTTATTTAGTATTGAATCTGGCTACTAAGTGTGTCACAATCGGCGAATGTCTGCACTTGATTCAAACGTGGGCATAAGAGCACTTATATGTTGGTCGGCCAATGCTTCATGTTTCGGTTCCTTGAGAAATAATGACCAAATCCCTCAGATTCATGTACAAATTTATTTTCTCACTTTTCAGCTAAACACACTAATTTTTTAATTACATTAAACACATTATTAAAAATAAAATATTGGTGGAATAAAGAGAAGGTATGAGACATGTTGATCTTAAATATCATGATGTATAGAGATGAACTTGATGGACTCAGACAAAGTCAAGTATATTAATTATTTTTTAATTGATCTCCTAATCTTAATTTACTATATATGTTAACTAAATTTAACTTATAACCCCATCCGCGGGTTATCTGGACACCATATTTAGATATAAATATTATGTTATTACATAAAATTTATTTTGAAAGCATGGACATTGGACAGCACGCGTTTCACTAATAAACTGGAAGTGTGTCGAGTGACCTTCAAGATCATGTTATGCGTCAGTATTCAAGCAACCAGTCAATAACCACTGAACACATCGAATAAGGTTTTTAGAGAGTTGATGGGCGAGATAAAGTAGGAATTGACTGAGAGCAATATCATAATAAATATTGAGATATGAAATAGTTATCGGGCATTTACTGTATCAATAACCAAAGCAGAAAAAGACAAAGAAGAATTATTTCATTATTTGCAGTGATACCGTTCTTGGGTTTCACACTACTTAGCGAAGCCTGAGCCTCCTGAAACCTATTACTCACGATCACCAGGGGAGAGAATAGTGGTAATTTTTTGCATTCTTTTATAGCTACTGCTATTTTGTTTTTAATAATACATAATAATAATCTAAAATTACCAACCTTATAGCTAGATTCTTTTATTCGTATCAATAACATTGCTGAAAAATATGGAGGGAATCATGAAACAAGTGTTAATTCCATGAAACAAAGTTACGATGAGATTCTGGAGCTATCACGCAGAGTAGAAGAATCAGTATGCATTGATATATGACATATAATCGGTCTGGTTGACATAATTTTGAAGCAGAGTTGTCTCATAGTATAGATGTCAGACCGCAAGGGCCCCCTAGATCAACCTCTGATGTTCCATATCAGTCGTCTTCCTCTACTGCGAGCCAATTGACGCCAGTTGCTCGAAGGAGATCTTCTATTAGCATAACACAAAGAACTTCATTTAAAGAAACACAAGATCAACAATATCCAAAGATATCTGTTTATCTTGCCCACTCAGTATTTGTGAGACACTCTGGTTATGCAGGACCCTCCGGATATGCAGTACCATCAACTTTTGAGGTTTCATCATTTGACTTGCAGTGGACAACGACTAGTGTGAAAACTTCGATTTAAAATTTCAAAATATTCTCATGTTTGCGTCTAATTCTGATGTAGGCATAGATTTCAGTACACCATAATTATATTCTAAATCAGATCCCAATGAACAGATTTACTGGAAGCCACGAGATGCTATGAATAACAAATCAAAGAGCGATGATATTGAACAACTTCAAGAATATCAGTTGCGTCATCGACCACTACGACCACCGTCTTGCTATACACCTGGCTCAGACATTGTTCCATCCCAACGTAGAAGATAATATTTTTGTAATATTATGTTAGTTGATTTAGTTAGTTCAATTAATTTAATTTGTTTCATTTTGTAAATATTTCAATATGAAATAAATTTTACAAATTTCAAATTTTCTTAGTTTTAGTTAGTTTAATTTAATTTTTTATTTAAATAAAATTTAATTACAATTTATTAATTAATGTAGAAATTAATTTTAATATTCTTTAATGTGTACAATAAATAATAATAATAATATTTATAATATTATTTAATATATTTTATATTAATAATAATATTATATATAATAGAATTATAAAAAAAAGGACAAGCTCCCCCATAGGAGGCGCATCTTATTTACAAACGTGCCCCCTTAAGGGGCTCATCTGCTCCTCCTTTTTTTAAAAAAAGGTTGGTGCTCCAATAAAGCAATCCAGCAAACATATACAAACTGGACACAGAATCAATGAAATATTCTCTTGCAAACTTGAAATATTAGAGATTCAAAGGAAAGTAATGGCTTCTTCTAATAAATCATTGGGGAATTTACACACGTACCACCTAATTCCTATCTATTTACATGCCTAACATCTAATCTTTATATTTTATATTTATACCACCCAAATATTTCATGTCAGATTAAAAATGTCATTATTTATATTTTCATACATGAATAAAATGACATATGTGTAAAATATTGAAGTGTTGGTGCTGCACGTGTAAAAACATAAGAATCAAGTGGTATGTAAAATCATTTTATTATTTCGAGACATCATCGTTCCAAACTATCAAATCATGTGGAAAATTATTCTGTTAGGGCTCTTAACGTAGAGAACTATTCGGAGTTCAATGAAATCACGTTACGTGGCGGTGACAAAAAAAAAAAAATCAGTCCGGTAACACAAAGGAATATTTCTCCTGTATTATTCATGTGTTATTGTGTGTTATTCAAATGTTATTGATGTGTTATTGTGTTATTATAACACCGAAAATATTCCCAGAACACAATAACACATGAATAATATATAATGACACCTTAATAATACAGAATAACATGGAGGAACTATGTTACCGGACCGGACCAATTTTTATTTTTTTTATGGCGTGATTTCATTGAACTCTGAATGATCGAGACACAACAATGTAACTAGACTTAAGAAAAGATAGCAACAAAGTACGTTCGTTGTCCTCAGCCATGGGCTCCTCCCTTTCGCGATCTTAAGCCGAAAACAAAGCAGAAACTGCAAATCCGATCACAAAAAGTAAGATCAAAATCTGCTCAAACTGGAACCAAATTGATCACAGTTGCATGACATATGCAGCACATCCCCTCGAATTAAATATGATTAAAATAACAAAAAAAAAAAGAAGAAGGAAGAAAAAAAGCCCGGCAGAAAAAATCGATTTCATTTGCTTACAGTGATCTTTCTAATTAAGGGGATGTTTCGTAGCCGATTTTAAGCAGGATTTAGAGAGCATTTAAGCTAAATCCTACCAAATGGCTAAAAACGCCGCCGTAAATCCTCAGCTCCCGTAAATCCCAAAATGACGCCGATTCCTGATCCCGTGAATCGGCAGAAAAGGTTGCTATCTCAGTTGCGTCGCTGGTACGGAGGTCAAGGAAGATCCTGGCCATTGGCGAGAGGCGCTAATGAGATTATTAGATCCGACGATCGCATGTTCTCTGCATGCGGTAGCGAATGTAAAATTAACATGTGTAATGGTGGCCCCCAGCGAAGATAAATAAGCAGAATGCGTGACCCGACCCGAACTCCGCCCAATAACCGGAAAAAGCGTATATTTGTGCTTATGGAATCCCGCCAAATCTAGCATTTGGACAGTTTCGATCCCGCCAAAGATTATTAGTGTCTTATGGATGTAGATTTTTTTTATTTTCTCGTCTGTTAGTACTCGACGAGTAGGGCAGAGCTCGCCTGTTAGTATTTGACGAGTAGGGCAGAGTTCTTATTCCGTTCTGTCGGCACTATTTTTGGTATGGGGTTTGCCCG